AAACATCTTAGTTTATCATTTCCCAAGCTTCTTCAAATTTGGTTTGCTCACCCACAAGTTCTCATGCAGACATTAGTTGAAAAAAAAAAAAAAAAAAAAAAAAAAAAACTGGTCACCACTGAGAAAGGGTTCATTTTTTGGCTAAACCCACTTTAAGTGAGAGAAAAAAAAATCCAGGGTAATTTTGGTATACTAGTAGTGCATTCCAAATTATCTGTTATTTAGGTTTCTTATGTCAATTTAAATCCTATTCCAACTAGCCACCAGTACTCGTAAAATCCATAAAAGCAATTGTTACACTACTTATTACAGGTAATAGATTATACTAATATCAAATTTATAAACTTTAAAACTAGTTCCTTTAAGTTTCAACTCTTTCCAGAAATGAGTGAACTTTTTGAGTAGAATACTGGATAACCTTTGATATTTTTTTTAAAAAGGTATATAAAAGTTATCCAATACTGCAAACGATTATTCATCCATTTAGATTATCAACAATTCAGCATCGTACAGTGTGCAGCAGAAATATCTCCCACATAATAGTATGACATTAGCTAGACGAAGACACCATTGCCACTAGTGCCGTACCATTTATGTGGGAGGTTTACGTGAAAGGTATTTTTAATGAACACTGTATATTAATTTTTAGTGAATAGGATATAAGTAGGTATTTATGAGGAGAAAGAAAAAAAAGAAAAAAGATTATTGCAATAAATTTTTTTTATATAAAAAAAATTACAATTCTCATAAACTGGCTTTCACTTATTTCATAACTTTCAGAGATGAAGAAAATTACATTAGAAAAAAACAGTACTCATTCTTTTGTTTTGCTGCTTTTTAAACACAGCTATTTATAAACAACTAACTTTTATGCAATAAATAACAAGGTATCTGAAAAGTAATATTTTTATATAAAAATCAAAAGTTTTTAAGACTATATCAAAACAGGGGAAGATTTATCTAATAATTTTTTTTTTTTTTAGAACAAAATGAAAATTGCATAAATCCACAAAATATTTTCAAAGATTTTTTTTTTTTTTTTTTAATTGTTATGATACTGTAAATTACAGATTATAAAAAAAAAATCAAATTTGAATGTTGATTTTTACGTGCTGTATAGTTATAGAATTGCCACCTTCTGAGAAGAGCTTGTCTCATTGAAAATCTCAGTAAAATTTCTCTTGGCTCAAGTGATACACAAAGTCAAAGAAATATCAACTTATTAACCAATGTGATGTAGTTTAAATTTCAACATTTGTAAAGAAAATTTTTGAAAGTTTTATTGAAAGATTGTCATTAAAAAATTGTAAAATCTAAAAAGGTTTATATTGATATGTATTTTTAGAACCTAAAATTTAAGCTTAAAATGCAAATTAACTTTTTAAAAGTTAAAAGATGAATAATTTTTTTAAAAATTTGTTCCTCAATCCTTCAATAAGATAAGGAAATATTTTTTGTTTTAATAAAACAGATTTTTAACGCAGGATCAGGGTTATACTGTCTTCAATACTGACAGATATTGTAATCCAAAACTGAAATTTCCAAGATTTGTCAGTAAATGAATTATTCAACAAATTAACAAAAATTCAAAAGTAATTATAAGCATAAAAGGCAACAAAATTAATCTTAGTAAAATTATTTCACTTTTTTTTCTTTTTCTTTTTTTAAGTGTTATTAGTAGAAAATGATTTAATATAAAAGCTTACATTCGGTCATGGAATTTTTTTTTAAGTTCAGTAGTTAATTAATCAGCTAAGGAATACTATAATTTTAAGCATTAAATATTTTTGTTTAATTCCTTTAAATTTTATCAGAAATTTTATACCCAATGTAAGGTTGCAAAGGAAGTTTTTTTTTTTTTGCTTGTTTTGCTATGATAAATTGTTTATCTAAAAATAAATTGTTTATGCATATAATATAGTATTCTGATCTTTCCTTTCAGATATATCTAACATCAATGTGAATAATTTGAGAACTGATGTACCCATAAAAATGGGTGTAGAGGATACCGATCTGAGATACTGCAAGCTTTATAAATCTAAAGTTTCAGCAATGATTTACTGTTTCAGACAGGGAAATCTTACTCAGGTTTCCTGTGTTCCAAACAATCAACTTCAAATGAAAAAAAGAAAAAAAAAAGAAAAAAGATCTCTTCATTTTAACTGGACAAAATCTGAAAGAGCATGATAAAAGGCATAAAAGCTCAATCAGGCCACACCTTTATGAACTCAGTAAAATTTCAACAAACATTGCTGATGGTTTTCACATGACCCAAGAAGTTATTTAAAAGTCAAGATCTGTTAAAAACAAAATACCACCAACTCATTCTTAGAATGGATTATCACCAGTGATGAAAAAGTGTTTTTATTTAATCATATACAGTGAAAGAGAATAGTTATGACATAGGGAAAAATCTGTACTAAAACCAGGATTACATGCTGAGAAGGTAATGATCTGTGTTTGGCAAAATACAAAAGATACTGATATCAAAGTGTTAAATTGTAACCAAAGTATAGTTTAAATTAAGTAATAGTCTTTGTTCTTATAGTCTCTGCTTGTCTTGACTTTGTAGTCTTTTTTTTCTTTCATTCTTCGCTTGAATTTCTCAGCAATCAACCAACTGCCAAAATTCCTGAGTGGAGTTACAAAGGCATTTTCTTGTGTATGAGGATGCAAAACCATGTGTTGCAAAATGTACATAGGAAGAGATTTTGACTGAAAAATGAAAATTTTATCTCCTCCACCATTTATTCCAATTTTGTTGTCAAAACAGACCCTCTTCAGATCTTTACAGTAGGTCCAGAATGGCAAATAGTATACCATCTTATAAAAAGTCCATTGTGTACCAAAAGATGACAGTATTTTACCAGTCCAAGACAACTTCATTGTTAGGGCAAGTGATCCACTTAATACACTAAAAACCTGACAATTATTAGAAACCCATTACTTTGCAAAGCCGGCTTAACATCTAAATTATATTAATATCTACTTGTAATACCCATGAAAATTTCATGGTTTTCCTATTTTAATTTTTTGATGAGTATTAATTCTTAACAGGGCTGTGGTGAGTTAGAAACAATTAAAGGGACATTGAAGTCAGAAAAACTATACCAATTCCGATTGTACTCGAATGTAAAAATAAAATAATTTATGCAATAACAATTTTTAAAAATTCATTTTTTCATCAAAAAAGTTTTTTGCCCTAGACAATATTATGCATATTCATAAAAGCAACTAAAAGCATATAAAATTAAGTAGTATGTTTATTGCGTTTTGTATGTTACAATTTAGAGCTGATTTTAGGTAGATGAGGTCAGAATTTTAAAAAACCTGATTTACTTTTCTCAAAGTCTTCCGTTTTTAACTAATATAATGACTTGCATGCTTTGACGTTGAATTTTTAGAGTTTTCATTAAATTATTAAGGGGGGTAATATATATATATATGCTGATAATATTAGTGGTAAATATACACATACATATCTTATATATATATATATATATATATATATATATATATATATATATATATATATATATATATTTATATATATAAAAATATATTTAAAAAAAACATTTATAATAATTTCCATCATTCCTGAATAGTTTCTGAAAGTTTAATTAAAATCTGACAATCATTTCTATTTTGCAAGATTTTCAAAATTAATGTCTGTCATAAAAAAAAAAAAAAAATGAACAAAAAATTTGCCATGTTATTTAGACTTCCGGTGATGATGAGAAACAAGGTTTTTCAATTGAAAGTTAGAATGTTCTAATAAAAGACAGAATTTTTTTTTTAAAATAACTAAAAATTACTTTGGTCTTTCCTCTTTATAGTAACATAAACAATTAGACGATAAAATTTTGTTTTCGTCAAGTTTGGCATCTTTTTCATCAGACTATGTGCTTTTTTTTTTTTTAGCGATCTCATGGTTATACCTACTTAAAATATTACAATAACAATCATGAATATGAATGCAGGTTATTATTTAAAGTGGTAAGGGGGTCACAAAATGAAGAGATTCAAAATTGACAAGATTTTCCATTACACTGAAACAGACATTAAAGAAATATCACCACCTTTGATGTCTTTTCTTCCATTTTGTGGACAGGAAACAGGCAAGCTATTACACATTTATCTTTGCAATCAAACAGGAATGGAACATTGACTATCTGAGGTAATGGCAGGGTGCAACAAATATCCAAATAAATTAAAAGAATAATCAGAATTATAAATATGATAAAGTATATTTCTAGATACATCAGAATTGAAAAGTTCAGGGTAACTGGATAATATCATAATTAGCCTTGTATAAAAGGCACACATCTTCCCAGATTTTTAAGTGTTAAAATTAAAAGGGTAAAAACTAATTCTCAATTCCAGACATGTGCACTGACATATTCTAGATGGTATGACTGAAAGTAAGTTCTATTACCCCAACCTGCAAAAAAAAAAAAACAAAAAAAAAAACAAAACAAAACAAAAAAAAAAAACATTCCAGTCTACTTCATTGCTGTCAAAGAAAGATATGACAGTTTCATCAATGATGCTAGCATAGATGTTTTTGGCATCTTGAATGTCACTAAATTTTGGCCTCTTTCCTAAAAGAGGATGATACATGCTATCTTCACTGCTGTCTGGGGTCCATTCTGCTAATCACCAGAATGCATGTTAACATTGATTCTCTCAATGTGAGCTTATTTTTGTTACAATTTTGTTATTTTTGTGCGAACATCGTTATGTATTTGCTCTAACTACTGTGTAAGAGTATTGTTTTTCAAATTATAACTACAAAAATTCTTATTCTTCACCTAACACAAATGTTAATTTAGCTGCTAAGAATTTTAAAAATTCAGATATACAGATGGTTTTTCCAGAATTTATCAGCACAAATTTAGGGGATGAGTATTATACATTAATAATTACTTTAAAATTCAAAAATCTTAATCTGTAAAAATCTAAAAAGAAAAAGTAATGCAGTTTATAAAACGGATACTCACTCTGTTTGCAGATTTGATAACTAAATGAACAGTTAAGCCATCTTTGATTCCATGCTGTGCCAATGTGTCAGCATCCTTCAAAATCTTTCCAGCAAATATAAGACAAAGCTGTTCTTCTGGTGCATTGAATTTTTTGGACACAAGTTCTTTAAACTGAAACAAAAATAATTATTCTTATATATTTATTTAATCTTGGCAATTTTACTCAAATTTCCAAAACAATTATTACTGACAACATAAGAAAGACTGACAAAAATGTGCGTAATGGGTTAACATTGAAATTTATTCAAAATGTTATTAAAACAAACTTAAAACCAAAGAAATACAAATACTCTCTGCTAACAATGATTCAATTATTTCATTAACAATTGTTAATGAAAATTCACATTTCATACAATATTCTAGAAAGTTTTCTAAGAAAATTTCTCTTTGAGAATACAGCTGGCTATTTTCTCTCTGAGGAAGGAGAGAGAGAAAAAAAAGAAAAGAAAAAAAAAGTCATTTAAAATTTATACAGATTTGTATTCTAATTGATGAACAAGGATCACAACAATCTTTGATCATTGGAAATTTTCTCTGAACATTTAGTAAATTGTAAGCCAATCTGCTCAGCATTATGAATTGCTTGTGAAAAACTTTAGGATATTATTCAAACACTAAATGATTGTATGGCAGCGATAACAAATCAACATTTTCCTATATATTATATATATAAATTTTACTGCAGATATTTTTCTGCACCTTTTTAAGGTCTTCATTCCAATAAATTAAGAAAAAAAAAAAAAAAAAAAATATTGTCTCAAGAAATAGTTTAAGCCAATGGTATAGCTACCCACCAAAAATCAGACTAGGATGCAAGGTTCCTTTTTCTTTAGAAAATTAATCAATGTTTTGCAGTGTCATTTTTGTAGTGATGCTGGTATGCTTTAGTAGTTTATTAGTGCCTTACTTGAATGAACACACACAAAAAAAAAAAAAAAAAAAAAAAAAAAAAAACAATCCATAACAATTCAAAATAGTCACGTCTAAAGTGAGTATGACATTTAAAATGTTTTTTTTTATTCAGAAAAGTCAAATTTTCAAATATTTCTTGGGAAACCATTTGTTTTTCATACTTTACTGTCATTGTTTTACTTATTCTCTACAAAGATATCAATTATTTTTGGATCAGCTCAAATAGGAGTTGGTTTCACCACTTGTAATAAGTAGCAACAGTCAGATTAAAAATGTTATAATGGAAATAGAATTAATAGTCATTCCAATGTGCTCTGCACTTTTCACAATTAAAAAAAAATTTTTTTTCTCAATATAGTCAATTTAAAATTTGCTTTACAGATAAAATATTTTCCATCAACAATAGAAAATATTAAGCTGCTGACATGCTTAAGGTCATTGAGGTTTCTATAAAATATTTTATTAAAAAGGAAATGCAGTAATTTCCTTCTTCAAAGATTTGACAGCATTTACTAAAAAGGACAATTTTTTTTTTTTTTAAATATTTATCAGTGGTGATAACTAATAGGCACCTATGCATAGGAATAAAAGTTTAGTTTTTCCTTTGTTTCTTAATATTTAAACATGCAGTTTTGTAAACAAAAAGTATTGTGAAAGATAAAAATCAAAATAACCTAATAACTTGGACAGATATGGAAAAGTGAGTAATGCTCAAGAACTTTTCAGCACTCCCTGCTTTGTTTATATATAAATATAGCAAATTTTAAATATTAAATTTTGAGATACAAAAAATCAACATTGCATGATTGCATTGAAGTATGAAACTTTAAATCTTTATATCACAGTGAAGCATGAAATTGACAATCAATATGCAGTGCTGATTCCTGTCCCCACCCCTTCACACACACAGAAGAGATAACAAATGGAAATAATAGAAACATGTTAATGCTATATTCAAAAGTTGTAAATACTCAAAAATAAAAGATGAGTCTTTAAATCCATTATTTAGAACAACATTCTTCAGTCACCATACATTATAATCAAATATTCGCCATTTTAAGTTACAGGTTATGAGTCATAAATAATGTATCTAGCAAAATTGCAGATTGTTCAAAATGAGTCTTTTGGTAGACTTAATAACATTTGAAAGTAGCTACCTTTGAACAACTGCACAAATCTTGAACCAAGCTTTTTTCAAATGACAGAGCAAAGGAAGCCAGTCAAAAGAAAAGTTAACTTTGGTCATGAATTTCAATGCAAATTTAAGAAATTCTAGTGGATTAGAAAATAACCGATAAGGAAGAATGTAAAAAAGTAAAAAAAATAAATAACTAAGAATTCTTCACACTGATGTACTGAACTTGCTGAAATATTCATTGATAAACAATAGATTTCATTTGTGCATGAGAATATTATCAAATTTTTAGTTTTGAAAGTATATTCAAAAGCATACTTTTCTATTTTCATCCTTGGTTCATTTGTATTATTCTCTTCATATACAAATTGATATACAATCATTAATGAACCATGGAAATTAATATTAGAAATGTTAGGCTGTAACCAAAACTGACACCTCAAGAGACCTGCACTACACAAGTGCTCTTGAATTATTTTATGAAATGTAGGTAGAACAGTATTAAAAATTGATAGTATAATAAAACCTACAATTCCATGACTAAATGAAAGAAAGTTAAATGCAAGCATGCAGATGAATACAGAGTTCTAAGACTTTATATTGAAATTACTTTATTCTGCAGAAAACAATCAACAACTTGTTACAAATTATCCTAAGATGATTAATCACAATTAATAAAACTTTGAGCATCTAAGTAATATTTGTTTTGCTTGCATACAATATCTAAAACAAGAGTATAAAGGAAAGGAAAATACTAGTTTGAATCTACAAAATCCTTGCAAGTTCAAATTGAACAGAATTATTTTCATAGTATAAGAAACCATAAACTGAGCTTTGTTTTCAATCTAAAGTGGTCATTTTAAAACTAAGGTATATTTGCTGTGACATTTTTGTTGCATTGTTAGTTATAAAAGATTAACAGATGAATGAAAAGCTTTTCCTAGTGATTGGTTCCATTATTGATATACTTTGCTATTACATCATACATTTTTCCGAAAAATATTTAAACTTGCATCAGAGGCAAATTATCAGCAGTTTGCACGTAACTAAATTTAGTGAAGTCTGAATGAAAAAAAATTTTTTTTGATATTCAAAAACACAAAACAGGAATTAGCATAGGGAGGTGGGTATAGAAACCCATAATAGAAAAATTAAGTACTCCATTTATCAGGGTGTTTCTCAAAGAACAATGATTAAAATTATCTTGTACAACATACACACATCTCAATTTTTAACCTCATGCCAGTTGAATAAATACTTTTGTTGGTTAGATCTTAATATGATAAGAAAAAACAAGTCTAATATGAACATTTGTATAAGCTTTTAACTAAAATTTTAAAACAAAAAGTCAGTTTCTGCACACACATCTCCTTCCTTGAGGAAGATATGTGTGGAATCTGTTGCCAAATTTCATTAACCAGCCTATTAAATCTACATAGTATAAGGAGTGTGTCTCTCTCTCTCTAGATATATATATATATATATATATATAAAAAAAACACACAATTATATTGAGAGAACCTGATGCATCATCAAGAGAGATTGGAATTTTTAAAAATGTATACTGTTATTGATTTTATTGAAATACTATTTTACCTCTGCAAAACTGTAGTGACAGATAAGTGAACATTTAGTTTTATTTGTTACACTTAATGCTTATCTCTTAATATGGGTACTATCAGGATAGATAATAATTGACCCATGAGGGTCAAGATTAAAGTATTCAAAGAACCACCCAAATGTGAATTTGTTCCACAAAGTGGCAATTCTTAGGAAAAGTTAGAATGGAATTTTTTCTTCTTCTTGCATTTGAAACCCTGAGGAAATAAAGGTGATTTGATTCCATGGAAATAGCATGACATGCCCTAAACAATAAAGGTATAAACTGGTAGAACTAAAGAGTAAGAGTAAGGAGTAGAACCCTTCTGAACATTTTCCGTGAAAATAGCGATGGAGTAGGAATCTAAAGAAAAAAAAAAAATGCAATACCTAAGGTTTAAAATGAAAAATCTCTCTTGAAGCATTTGTTAGTTTTGATTTCAAGCTTGATTAAATTTAATATTTCCAATAAGCAAAATACTTTGCTATATTCCAAGACCAATCTAAATTGACTGGAAAGAGTTTGAATTTCCTTTATTTAAAAAAAAAAAAAAAAAAAAAAAAAAATATATATATATATATATATATATATATATATATATATATATATATATATATATATACACACACAAAAAAAAAAAAAAAAAAAAACACTGATTTTAGTCATCTGTCATCAGAATGTAATTTAATCACAAACTAAAATATACTTTTCTGAAACTGAGGAATATTAGCCAATTTAAAATTCAATTAATGATTTGAAACTTTTAAATATTGCAGAAATGCATTTAACACAGTGTTAGGTGCTTAAAGTGTTGACAGCTTGGTCGACAGATGGAAGTTTGCCTATTTTTTTTTTTTTTTTATGGTGGATATATCTAAAAATTACATGAGGAATATAATGTGTGCACCCCCCCTTTATATAATTTTTAACAAGTAATCTCAAAAATTATGAAAATTCTGTAATCTAAGGACTTATTGAATTTGAGGCACAGTAAAACCTCCAATTAATGGACAAAATCCACAGAAATGGTAGTGTCAAGCTGGAACACTCAAAACACCTATGTATAGTGAACAAAGTCTGTTAGTTCCAAAATTGGCTGCTGTTGTTTACTGGCGCAGTCAACAGACAGTGACTCGTAGTTCCAAGAATAGCTGCTGTTGTTGTTTACTTGAGCACTCAATATGGATACGCATGCATCGTCTCTCAAACATCTTATACTGATTTTGGTACAGTATACAGTATTGTTTTTTTGTCAAGTTCTTCACTATGGCATCCAATTATAATGAAGGTGAGAAAAGGGTAGCACACTAACTTTAGTATTGTTGACAAATTGGAATTTATTAAGTTGAAGTTGTGATTTTCTGTGACCAGAGTATGCGTGGAATACAGTGTGATAAAAAACTGTAAGTGACATACATAAGGCGCATTATTAACACAGTCAAACATTAAGGAAAATGATAATTCAAACAATATCAAAGTGGGGAAACAAAATTGAATTCATTCCTCCAGCCCAAACATGTGGCTCATGAAAGCGACCACCACTACACTAATATCACCTCTCCCAAACATCAGCACTACTTCAGACGAGTTCCATGGCTTCCAGTAATTACTACTGTGAGGCCCCACTATACGATCACAGCACTTTCATGGTAGTATTAGACCATCACAGCAATGTTTAAAGATAATTTTAGGTACCTTTGAAACATAACATACACAGCATCTCTCTGTATGTGTGTAATTTATTTTATGTTACTATATAGTAACTTAAAAATAAAATACACAATGTATTTACATTTGTTTACAATAATTTTGTGCTATACTGGGTGTTTTTAGGCCATGAAAAAAGTGCTTTAAATTAACAGACAAATGGGTTTAAAGGACAATCCTCTCCTATTAGTCAGTTAAATTGAGGTCCCACTGTACTTTGGATTTAAATTTACTATAGTTATCACTCTTATTTTCTGATAATGTTGTTTATATACATCCATATTTACAAAATTTGGCAAAAAAAAAAAAAAAAAAAAAAATTGTAGTAAGCTTTTCCATTTATGGTTAGTAAATATAGTTTACTTAATATCACCTAACGAAGACAAATTAGAGAAATTTAACAGTTTTAAAACTTTATAGATTATCCTAATAAAAAAAAAAAGAAATTATTCATTGGAAAATCCCCCCCCATAAGTTAATAATGCATCTTATGAATAAAAACAATTAAAATATTTTCTAATTAAATAATGTCTTAGTTTTATTGCATTTTTTTTTATTTTACGATTCAGCAGATTTTTGTTAACTGGGGAGCCTGTTTTACAACCCCCCTGGTCTTTCCTCTTAATAAAGACTGAAAACATAACTGCTTTTATCAAGTTTCAGCTATTTTTTTTCATCAGGGCATGCTCATTTTTTTTAGCATCTATGGAAGTACCTACGATATAGAGTAATAACAGGTTCATGAAGTTGTATTCACGGAAAAGAGATTGCAGAGTATAAAAATCTTCCCCCACAAGACTAAATCATCTTGGACATTATAAAGCCGAGAATGTGTGGATTGAGCAATTCCAAAGAAAATATGTCAACAATATTAAATTTTCAGCCCAATTTAATAATAATAAAAAAAAAAAAAAAAAAAAAAAAAGATACAAAAATGGCAGAAAGTGCCTGATATTTTTGGTGTGATATAGTGAAGTGTCCATTTTCCCAGGTTCTTTAGCAATGGATTGTATACAAGATTTCCACATGAGGTTTGAAGTAAACCCAATACCCAATAGACATTCCGATCATGGAGTTTTATAAAGAAGGCCACTGTTTACTGTGACTTGAGAAAAAAAAGTCACAGTGATGAAACAATGCTTGCTTTTTTTTTTTTTGAGGTGTCATCATACAAGACTTTAAAGATTAGTTTGATAATCTTAGCTAGACATTAAACTTAAATTAATTGATGTTTAACATTAATTTCAAGAGACTCCGAGGAATATAATAGAACTTTATAGCAACTTAATATGAAAAAACTGCATTTAAAGTCATTTAAATTGACAAATTCTTTAGTTTTGCAATATACAAGGTCCCTTTGTTTATGAAAGTTTCAGAAAGAGTTATGCTTTCTAAACATCTTTCAGGTTCAGCTGGAAAAAGTTTTAAAAGTTTGTATCAGATAATCACTTTTTTTTTTTTAAAGAGGATAAGACAAATGATATAACATTAATTAGTGACAGCTAATCAATTAACAGCTTATTTCTGTATTTTATATGCAAGTAAGGACAGCTGTAGTTGAAAGAAACCCATTTCACATGCCAAGTGATAAATGACATCCATAATTTTTCAAGATTCATTTGATAATTCCTTGCAAACAAAAATGCAACAGTAAAGAGCTTACATCTATTTTAAGCTTGGAGTAAAATACTGTAGATTCAACATTCAAACTAAATGAATTTATTTCGAATAGAGTTATAATTTAATGTAAAAAATTAATTGGATTTAAACATTATTAAAATATTTAAGATTTAGTCATTTTGCTATGTCTTGATCTGTTTGTATAGCTAAAAAAAAAAAAAAAAAAAAAAAAAAACATCAATATTGTGTTTTGAGCATGTTATCTTTGATTACATGTTTAGTGGCCGGTTTAAAATCAATCATGATTAATTTCCGTAGCCAGATTTAGAGATGAAACTAGTCAATTTTACGCATCTACATAGAAATACAAGGCAATTCTGAATTGCACGCTTTGGAAATATAAATAAATGATCATCCAACATCACACCATTTTCGTGCTATGAGAATGAATGTTAGATTTGAGAAAATAAAAGGATTCCGCTGAAAAAGTCAAGTCATAAGAGACTAACATAAGCATCATATTTAGTTAGGTGCTTATCTGATCAAGTCTGAAAGACAAGAAATCTAATATTAATTTGCTGTATCTGACCTTTGAGAAAAACGTGACAAACTTTTATCTTTGCTGAAAGATAAGCTAACCGATAAGTTACTTCCCTTAGAATATTTCATGGTCATGAGGGTTGGTAACATACAATGCAAAAAATAAAAAAAGTTTTACAAGTGTAAATCTTTTCAAATAGTATTTCAAACATTTTTGAGTTCGAGAATATTTTTTAAAAGTTGGAAAATTCTAATTTTTAACAGAATGCAAAATTAAACTTCAATTCAAAAATCAGGGGGGGGATATAAAGTGGGCATCTTTAAAAGACTTTGTAATCGAAAATATAAATTATAAGAAGATTGTCTTGGACATTAAATAACAATTGAAAGGCTCCTATAAATGCTTAAAACGTGAAATAAAGTAATGAGGCTAATGACAAAAACGTTTTTCTTGCAAAATTTCAATTATCAGTTTTCAGTAAGACAGGAAATAGAAAAGTTCGTTCATAGAAAAAAAAGCAATACTGTTTCTTTCGCAAAAAGACTTCCCTGAAGCATCGAATATTTCCAAAGTTTCATTTTATTTTTCTAAGAACACAAAAGTAATTGGTTTTGAAAGTGAAAAATATTTTTTTTAGTTAGTCCAGTAATAAAAGTAAAAGTAGATGCGATTTTTGTGGAGAAGCAACGTGGCCCAAAAAGAAAGAAAATCAACAATAAACAAACTGTGTAGTAAGAAATATTTATTTTGTTGGTAAATACAAAAAGCTGATTATTATTAATTGAGCATTTTTAACACTTTCTGGTTTCCACTGCAAATAAAAGCAATGTTGAACAAATTAAAAAGAAAATTGAACAACGAAATAAGCATAAGAAAATTCAAAGCCCACATTTACTTATTAATAACAAAAAAGTCCTTTATTTAAAAAAAAAAAAAAAAAAAAAAAAAAAAAAAAAGACAAAAACACACAGTTAACATGGGAGACATTCATTATGAGAAAAATCACTCTCGGTTCAGTCTGTAGTAGTAGTATAATTCTTGATCAATTCTATTTAAAATTCGAAAAAAATAAAAAAATAAAGGAAATCAAAATAAAGTTTCTTTTAAATGTTTGATTGTTGAAAGTAATTGTAATTATATGAAATACCAAAGACAAACCGAAACGTCAACTCATCATCCCCTATAAACACACAGAAAAGGATTTAAAAAAATAAATAAAAATATAATCATTCGTCATACAAATTCTGTGAAAGAATAAGTCGAAAAATAAATAATATCAGACTATAAAGAACTAAAACTTAAAACCCCAGTAGAACAAAAAACAATATTGTCTTGATGTACTTGCTAACCTTTCATAAGATTTTTAAAGCATATACTTAACGAACAGATATTAAAATCGTAAATAATAAAGATGTAGTCAATTGTATTTTTCTTTTCTCACTTGAACCTCAAGTTTTAAAAAAAATTACATCACTGATACCATGCACTGTAGGGATCTAGCTCGTCCATTAGTAGTAGTAAGTCTAAAGCGGAAGATGGGGAGTACCAGCTTTATGAAGAGTTGTGTTTTTGATCGGGACACGTTTTGTTTCTCATATAGAAATTGATAGCTTTCCAAGTGTTTTTAGTTTATTTACATAGAAATATTACAGAAAACAAACCAAAAAGACAATTTTTATTTTTACGAACAGTTTTAAATCCTAAGGAAACTCATCAAAACATTTCGTTTTACGGTAAGGGAGCAACAAATTATTAGACTAGTCACTAGATCAATGTCAAGCTAAATAATAATAAAAAACAAACAAAAAACACAAACAATCATAGCCACCTGTTCACTAATTTCCGTAGTCCAATTTAGAGATGAAACTAGTCAATTTTACGCAGCTATATAGAAAGAAATACAAGGCAATTCAGAACTACACGCTTTGGAAATAAATGGTCATCCATCATCACACCATTTTTTTTCTTCACCTTTTTTTTTTTTGTCTACGACTTATGACGTTAACGTGAACGTGAAAAAAAAAAAAAAAGAATTAAATATGTTGATATACAGGAACAAATATCCATATAAATGCAGAAACACTATTCATATTGTAATTTAAAATATTAGCTAATTCACAAAACGAAGAACATGAACCGATTTAACTTTAGCATTTTTCATAGTCAATCTAAATGACTTAGCACCTTTCAAGTATCAGCCTTCGTTTCTAGTCTTCAATTTAATTATATATATATTTTAGATGATTAATATTAAATTTGTAGATATCAATCCAAACAGAAAATCCATAAATTAATGGTATACGCATTTATGCGGAGAGTCGAAGTTATCTCACACTACAAACGGTAAAAACCAGGGTGAAAATTCGGCAGTTAGTAGTAGACACACACACGCACAGAAAAGATAACGTACAAGAGATGGTAGTAACACTTTCGAAAGACATCCGTTACATTTAGGAAATAATCTTGCAAAAACTGTATGAACATACAATCAAATATTTCTGAAATTACCTCCTTTACTGTAGCATCACCTTCCACTTCTATTTCTTGCTTTTCTTTCGGAGTTTTGACTGTTACTGTAATTTTCCTCTCAGTCTCTTCACCGCTTTCCGCCATGATGGATGCACACCTGTACTAGCAATCAGACAGACTCATGGGAGTATAAATTTTCTTTTGATCATATTATTTATTGTTACCACTACATAAAACCTAAATGCTTCCTTAAAAACATGCTTTGAGTTTAATAACTAAAAATGATTATTTTAAACTAATGAAAAAATTATGAAATAAAATTCACAAAATGAAACTACGTTTGAACGTGATCTTAGAATTCTACTAAAACATATGAATGCTAAATCGCTTTAAATCTCGTTCATTCGAGATCATGACATGTGTTTCTCCTCCTCCTCCTCCCTACCTTTCCTTTTGCAGAGAATACGTTTCGGTGAGTTTTAATCAAACCGCACAAAACTGAATAAGATGTTCTCTTACTTATTTTTAGTATTTTCTTTTCAAAATTAATTAATTATAATTTATGGTAAAGCTTAATGAGGCTTAAAAAGATGTCACAAAAATTTAAAAAAAAAAAGAAAGGTAGACGGAATTCCTCTTTTGAGTAACAGATGGGATATTTAGGAAGGAAAGGAATAAGGCGTAAAAAAAGGAAAGAAGTTAAATATCAAAGAAATAAGGAACTATGTGCATGCATGCAGCAATGAAAATAGAAAAGGAAATTTATAAGTTTCCTTTTCTTATGGTACCGAAAAGGAAGGAAAAGTGAAATGACATCGGGAATGTCCATGCTGTAATCACGTGATAAATACAGGCTTCCTTTCTTGCGCGCAATACCCGAATTGTATTGATTGACTCTGACTGTATCCTATATTTACGAATACATGAATGGATGCATTAAATTTGTTGACCGATTCGAAGTAATTATGTCGAAAATATGATTCAAACCCAAGGGAGAACTGTTATTTTATGTCTATTGGACATTTTGCACCACTTCCAATCCAGAACATGATGTAGTCTTTAGAGTTTGAGACCTTGACCTTGTTAATATATATATATATATATATATATATATATATATATATATACACACCGGTGTGCGTGCTTGTATTTCTGTATGTACTATTTTTTTCATTTAGTCTGTGGAGAATTGTTTATTAAGTTGTAGGTTTTAAATTCATTAACTTAAATTTTACAATTGGAAGGAGGTGGGTGTGTACGCACGCACGCGCGTATAAGTTATTTTATTAGCTAGAGAGGTTGATTAATTTTAAATTCATCTGTCTTTTAGTCTTTTAAATTCCCATATTTGCTGAATATAGAAGGTTTATAAATTATAATATTTTTTTGTTGATGCATAAATAGATTTTAAATTAAATTTCAGTTTATGTGAACATACATCTTTGTTCATTATCAATTTTTATTTTTCTTGCAAATCTCATCAATAAATTAAAATTTACATAATTTTGCTTTTGCAATATTACTGTATTTCCCCAAGCATAATATGCCTTCATCCATAATACACACCCCTAAAATTGTACTGAAAGTGTTGAGAAAATACTTCTACTCACACATAATACGCAACCCTTGTTTGGTAATCAAACCCTATAAATTGTACCTCTCCAATTTCATTACGGTCAGCAATTCCTACTCTTATTCAAGCTGTAATTGAAGATATTAGAATTTCTGATCACCATGATCCTATAAGGAAATGGAAATACCTACTGCACAGACTCCTTAACCTGTTTTGGTTCAATAAAATATGTAATCTACCAGATCTGTATATAATTCAAGTTACTGATACATAACTCGAGTTTGCTTAATAGTTTGAGTTAGATAAACATAACTTGAGTTATACTTAAAAAGTAGACAGAATAAGATTTGGTCTGAGAAATATTTAACAAAGAATAAAATGAATAAAGAAACAAAGAAATCAATTCAATGAAATTTATTATTTATAGTCCATGCATTCTTTGTCTGAGTCAGAATTAAAATCCCAGGACAGTATTACAAATTTTTAAAATCCTGGTATGGTAAATCTCAGGATTTCAGGAAATGTATCTGAAGGAAATATTTTATAAAAGTTTCATATTTTTATTAATAATTACATGTTATTATAGGCTCTTTTCTTTTTCTTATAAACCTTATGCTAAAATTTTAATTTATTTAAGACCTCTTATAAAAATCTCTTAATATTAAAAGAGTGTTCAACAACTCTACTTAAGCTATTTCTCTGCTTAGTCAAAAACATGACTAAAATAGAAAATGTATGCTATGCTTCACTTGAAGTTGTGGGAATTGACTGTAAAGCTTGCATTAGCTTTTCAATATTTTTGCTTCATTGTTTATCTTACTGTGATGCCTAAAAAGTTTGCTATAAAAATATTTTTCTTTTGAATGTAAAAGGGACATTTTCCTTTAATGAAATTTTAAATTTAAATTGATATCTATAATAATAAAATGATACATTCAATAAATTAAATATATTACTGAGGGGATTTTGATTTTAAAATATATTTTTTAGAAGTCCTTTAAGTAAAAAACACCTATGCTTTTATTTAATATTTTAAAATAAAATTCCTGGATTTCCTGACTTTAAAAAAAAAATTATCCTGGTATTTTGACCACCCCCACCAGTTAGAATCCTCCATTAGATGCTGAATTTGTTCATCCTCCTCTGCAGTTGTGTGATCAGTGTCATTGTATAAGCCCTCATTCATCACCTCTTCCACTTCATTTTTGCTGGTATCCTCCTCTTCCTCCATATCCTCTCAGAGGATATCATCCCCAGTGCCATCCATAGCATTTGTATTGCAGCACTTTTTTTTAAAGCCCCTAATAATGATGGCTGGGTCAACAACCTTCAGGCTTCTTTGATCCACCCAGTGATGACCTCTATGCCCACTTTCTTGCAGCTTCCATGGGGGGGGTGAACTCCTGGTTACCTGATAGCATCCATTTGTTCCACTTGGCTTTCAAGTGTTGCTTGAATGGTTTATTGTAATAAATATCCATGAACTGCAATTGGCTAGTCATGCTACCCGGTATGATGACCGTCAATCCTATCCTTCTCTATGAGTTCTTTGATTTTTGGCATCCTATGACACCGGAAGGCATCAATCCTTCTCTTTGTGGAGTGACATTGGCACCACACCATTCTGAGCCAGTCTTAAGTCAGTGCTTCATCTATCCAACCTTCTTTGGGATGGTACCTTTCTTGTCATTTGTCCTTTTTAGGCAAAGTTTTTCTCTTAAAAAATAGGTGGGGCTTAATTTTCAAGTCATCTCCATAGGCACTCAACATCTATTTTTTTTTTTTTTTTTACCAGTGGATTTTATGGTAATGCTGCTTGTTCCTTTCAAGTCAAGTGTATGGGATGGTGGTAAATCAAAGGTTAAAGGTGTCTGGTCTGCATTGCCAATGTCTTTTATATCATGGTTGTGTTCTTTCCTCAAGTTTAGTACAAACTTCTGAAATTTTGTAACATTTTGGTCTTTATCATGATGCAGTTTCTATGCAATTGAGGTTCTTCTCCGTGTGGACAGGTTGTTCCTCTTCATGAACCTGTAGCACCAATTTGGAGAGACTTTGGAAGTTTCCTCAGGATATTTTTTCTGGGTCAACTTTTTTCTGTCTATAGTGCTGATGGAAAGTCCAACAGCCCACCTTTCTGCAATTTCCTCCACAAATTCTTTTTCCATTTGAGGATACTTGGCCCTTTACCTCTACCAGGGCTCTTGAATGTTTTGCAGCCACAATTCTTTCCTTGGTTATGTCTCCATAATCTTATATTTGCTTCATTTATATCGTACTTTCTTCCTGCTGCATGATTTTTCACTTGTTCTGCCACTTTTCTCTTAAATTCACTGGGGCAGTTTCTTGAATTCATTTTTAACCAGGGGTGTTGTAGAGTAAGAATAGGAGTAGGTAAGAATAAGTTCTGTTCTTCTTGGGAGAATGTTGTGAACTGCTGGCCATTTAGCTTATACACACACGTCTTACCGATATCCATTACCATTGAAATAAACTTTCTTATTCCGGTAGTCTTGACCAATCAGAACATATCATGTGGAAACCACATGGTGGTATACATAGTTCATTGCATAGCCGTAAATTTTTTACAAATGTAAGTATTGTTAGGTACATATAATTGTATTTGACATCCTTATAGGGTTGTAATCACTGAATGTTAGTGTCAAATTGTCATGTTTGTGGTGAGTAGTCATTTTACAACTGAAACAACAATTTTTTAAAGATATTTTTGTAGCTGTGCATAATATGCACTTCTAATTTTGCTTATTATTTTTTAGAAAAAAATGCGTATTATACATGGGGAATTATGGTACTTCAAGTTGAAAATTATATTAATTATTCTCTTGATAGTTTTGAGTTTAAAAGTGGGAAATAGTGTTGCATTTTGCTTGAGATTTTGAGAACAATATTCAAAGATATTTCTTGTACTGTCCTCATCTACTTTTTTTATGGTTTTAGGAAAAATATTTTTGGAAAAAAAAATCATCAGATATGCCTTGTTAGTGTAAGAAAAATATAGGAATTGGTCAACACTGGTTTGTGGATTGGAAAAGTCACTGAGAAGATGTAATATTTCCATTTAAAATAGGTGATTTTTAAGTAATAATTTATTTAATATAATTTAATAAAAAGTCAAATTTAATTTTAAATAAATATTTTTTTTAATAAACTTGTTTATTGAGATTAATTATTTTAATTACTCTCTAAAGTCAACATTTAGTTTAAACTATTAGATCACTACTATTAAAACAAATATTACTTATTTTAACAAAAAATATTATTTAAATGAAAATATTATTTTCTCTATCATTTTTTCTTTCAAGCCACTTATGATTTTTTTCTGGTTATCCTTTATAACATTTAATTGAATATTAATGTTGGTATATTCTTCAAATTTAATACTGCTTTAAAATATGACTTATAAAACTGTTTATTTGAGCAAGTGGAAATACTTGTGCAAACCTGCACAATGTGTTATTACTATGTGTATGCAAATGTAATAGCTGTTATTAATAGCTGTTACATTTGCATATACATTTCATGCACTAAATGTAATAACAATTATGGGACAGAGAGTATTAAATATAGTTAATAAAATGAACAAAATTTTAATGAGATATAAGTAAGCTTGCCATATATCCTGGTTTGAGGGGTCTTAGCACTATGCTAGATAAACTATCAATATTCATTTTTATTTTGGTCTTTCATGAAACTTAAGTTGTGTTTGATCATGAAAATCCTTTTATTCTACAAGATCTAAAATCTATAATAAAAATTTAAAATTGTCCTGCTTTGAAGTAAGACTAAATTAGGTACCTCCACAAAATCACTAAAAAGTTAGTATACTGTGATGAAAAAAATGCTCCAAATTTAATGAAAACATAATTTTATCAAAATCTTTGTTATTATTAAGAGAAAGGATCAAGGTATTTTTTGAATACTTAATTAAATTTTTAATTCTTTTTAGTATATTCGAAATTTTAATTAAAAATATTGTTTTTTTTGGGTCAGTGGATGTATTATAAATTGACATAGTAAATTTTAGTGTCTTTTTTTGTGGTGACAGATACTCTAATTTGGAAATTCTTGCAAAAATCAAATTATTGTTGGATCTTTATGAAATTTTCTAAGTTTATTTATAAATGAATGAAATTATTTTATAAAACTCAAAATTCAGTATGATTTTTTTTTTAGTGGCTATATTAGTTAAAAGCAGAACACTTTGGAGAATTTAAGTCATCAATTTTCTTTGTAAAATCAGACCCCCGTTTTACCAAAAATCTGCTCTGAATTGTAAAATGAAAAATGCAATAAAACTAAGACATTATTTAGAGAAGCTTTTAATTGCTTTTATGAATATTAGAATAATTTATAAATCTTTTAAAATTCAGTTTAAATGGTGTAACTCTTAGGAAATATTAAGTAAAACTATATTTGCTAATCAAATATTGTAAAGCTTATTACAATCTAACAACTGAATATTTTTAAAAGAATTTTGAATTGTTTTTGTAAGCATATAAACATGCCAAATTTTATAAATACAGTCAGCCATACATGACATTGTTAGAAAATAAGAGTGATAACTATAGTAAATTTAGAGCCAAACATCTCTAAAATTCAATAAAACATTACAGAGAATATTTTATTACATTTTTATGATTACTGGGTACTTATAAGGCGATTGTGTTATATACTTCACTTATTTTTTTAAAATTTAAGCCTCACCGTAGAACAACATTAAATAAAATCTGTCATCAAGCTGTCAGCATAAATAAACAAGCTACTATCATGTTAAAAATGCATTTCTGTGATATTTTAAACTTAAAGTAAATAATAGTGGATTTAAATCAGAGTAGCTATACCTTAAATCAGCTAATATTCCACTAATAAAGATTTTCAGAAAAGTATATTTTATTTTTGGAAGATTTTTTAATAAAGAGATTTACGTTTTTATAACAGTTTGCTGAAAATGGTACTAAATTCAAAAAATGGAAAAAAAAACTCATTCCAAACAATTTAAATTATTTTTGAAATACAGCATATTTTGTTTATTGGAAATATTAAATTTAATCTATTAGCTTGAAATTAAAACTAAAATAGAAGCTTCAAGCAAGAATTTTCATTATTAAATTTTTAAATATCAGGTATCGTGTTTTTGTGGAGGTACCTCGTCTAGATTGAAAGGGATTCAGAAATTTAGCAGTTATTCAAATTCATATCTTGAAATGACTATGGCCAGTATTATATGATTATTTGATTGTTATTTTTTAATTTATTAACAAAAAACCGGGATGTCAAAAAAGAAGTCTTTAAATATCTGTGTTTTATTCTTTATTTATAAATGTTTATGTTTTAATTACATATATTAGATTCAGAAAGAGAGTTAAAATTTCTTAGACATATAATAAGGAAGGAGGGCTTGGAGCATTTGACACTCACTGGGCATATCAAAAGTTGGAGGGGCAGAAAGGCAGCAGACCATCTACCTGACAATTTTAAATGAATGGATTGTAGAACTGGATGGGGTAGATTTGACAAAGGGATAAACATTGCTACAAGAGATAAGTTTGTTGTGGAGAGCCATGATTGTTTATGCTCTGAAAGGACAAAACACATAGAAAATATAGATATATTTTCAGAAAAATGTGTCTTCTCTACTATGGAGCAACTTGCAATATAACTTAAAATGAATTCTTAGTTATTTTTTTTTTAATATACATGTTTTAAAATATTGTGAAATTGGCTCTTAATAATAATAGTAAAGTAATTAATCTTCAGTCTCATTTAAGATAATTGTACAGTCACATTTTTTTTTTTTTTTTTTTTTTTAATGAAAATTAAACATTAAACGTTTATATTACAAATTAGAGAAAATATTGCCTTCCTGCCACTGTAATAGTGAGTTGACTATAAATTTTTTATTATTCGAACAATTGTGCAATCTTTGGAACAGGAGTGGAGGTTTATCCCTTGTTTTCTATTTAAGATTGATTTTCTCAATTCCTTCTAAAGTCTACTTCAGCTCTATTCTGACGTCTCCACCTAAACTCTGAAAATTTATTTACTATTTGTTTTTTTCCTTCAATAGGACTAGATAGGTTTGCCTATCCTCTGGTTCACACTTCTCAGTTTTTTAACAGGAGTAAAAGTTTATCCTTTGTTTCCTGTTTTGGATTGGGTTTTCGGTTACTTCTAAAATTTTCTCCTTCTCTTTCACTCCCAGTAACCTCTTGCATCTTAGTGGCATTATCACCTTGCTTGGGGTAAATTGATTAAATTGATTCTCATTGAGAAATATGCTTCATTCTTTAAGTGGGAATATTATTAAGTAAAATACATAAAACATTTGGTTAATGTTACAGTGTTAAGAAAGCATGTTGATATATAAATATTCTAATTATTATTTGGCAGTATATGGCTAGCATAATGATTATCAACACAGGAAGTAACAGTGTTCAACTTCTGGCCTGGTATGAATCCCCCCCCCCAGCTATGAATTAAATAACGCTGTAGACTGGCCTCTTCAAACTTGGGTAGCAGCCAGTGTAGAAGGAGGACAATTCTGAATCCAAAAAGAAGGCAATAAAAAGGTACTTGAAATTCTTATAAGACAATTTATCTAATTAATTATACTGAATTTTAATGACATTGGTTTGATTGATTAGTTTTTTATGGCTTATCAACCCTTTGCAGGTTATTTAAAACCAGAAAATATTTTTTTAGATTGTAATAATTTTTTTTTCGATAATAGTTTAATAATACAAATCTTACAAATTAACCCATAGCTGGCAAGAGAAGAGGTGAATTCATACCTTTCCCAAGGTTATTTGTGTGTAAGTAAATATAACAAATCCAATGGGAATTGGAACTTGGCTCTCCAGTTAACAATTTCAAGCCATTATCCATTACACCACCCTCACATACAAGTTTAAAGCCCCTGGTATTCTCAAGCAGTCACCAATCTAGGTACTAACCAGACTCAATATTGCTTAACTTCAGTGATTATATGAGAACTAGTGTTTCAATGTGATGTGGCTGTAAGCCTAATGACATTGGCTTTTAAGCATTTTCAAATTTTTGTGAGATCAAGTAAATTCTAATCCAATCATCACTTGATTACTTTTTGGCATTTTTTCTGTCTTTTGGAGTTTTGCTTGCAATCATTTACATCTTGTAATTACTGTTTGAATAAAAGTCCCATCTGAATTTCTAGGATGAGGAGTTATCACCATTTACAGTTAGTCTAATATCTCTATCTTTGTTGTTACTATCACATTTCAACCTTTCAACTTTAGAGGTGTCTGTTGATCCAATTAATCTTGTCTAGGAATATCTCATCTTGACAATAGACTAGTGGATTAGAACATTGGTTCATGAATTTGGTGGAACAGTAATTGTGAGTTCAATCCCTGGGCTGGGTAGTACATGCTCAGACTCAGTGGAAACAGGACTAGCAATAACCGAGCAGTACTAAATAAGAACAAACCAAGATGTCCCAACATAATCAGAACAATCTATCCCCATAGATTAAATAAAGGTTTCAATTCAAAATTCCCTAAAGAAGGATGGAAGAAACTGGCTGAAATGTGATAGAAAAATAAAAATGAAGACATTAGTCCAACTGTAAATATTATAAATAAAAACTTTTATATTTTGTTCTTTTTGCTTTTGCACATCATTGATAGTTATCACATTCATGTTAAACAATTCCCACATGACAACATGACTGCCACTTTTTTTTTTTTTTTTTTTTTTTTAAGTGTTTTAACTTTCTGTCAAGTTGATATTGACTAATATTTAATAATTCATATATTATTATATCTCTACTAACTCTAACATCTTTCTCAGAAACCATTAAAAGAGTGAAATACAACTAATCTAAATTAAGAAGTCACTGGCAACCTAAACTTTAACTGTCCACACAACTATGTCTTATCAAAAAGAAATGTCAAACAATCAGAGTATTGTTGCAATACTGTATTTTGTTTTCTATGTGATGATTTGACTAACAATTAGATGAATAGAGATTCCTCTCTTGATTAGAGAACAAGAACTTGTTCAGGAAATATGAATATCTTTTATTTATATAATTATGGTAGAGTGAACATTACTGTGCAATATTACTCTTGTCTCATCAAAGCTGCTTATATTGTTGCCCCTGTCTTTTTTCTAGCACTCTGTAATTATTGTGTATATTTTAGGTTTATTACCTGTTGCTTTATAGCAACTTATTGATTATGTGATCTTTAGTGATGGTCTATTCTTGATTTCCACTTTCATGAGAGTTGAGATTCATACTGTTGTTGTTAATCATTGCATTCTTGACTTATATAATCAAGAGACAAAATGCAAAGTTAGCCACAGTAAGTGTGCATGTTAAATGGTAAAATTTGATGCAAGAAGGTCATCCAGCATTAAAAGGATTTTTGAAATCATTAACTTGTTTTAGTCTTTTATGTCGTTTTTTTTCTAGTCATTTACTTATGATTTCTTTAAGTCAACAGTTCTATTCTTTTTCTTCCAAAATATGTATTTTTATTAGTGTTATATAGAAATAAAGTGTCACTGTCAACACTGGAGATTGAACACAGATCACCAGAGTGCAAACACAGGCGATCCCATTTTGAATAAGTAGATCACGTGATGGCAAAGGAAATATATATATGGGAATTAGCATGGTGTCTAAATGATCACTATACGGATTACTATTCGGATCAGTATTTGGCAGTTAGTTTTTGAGTGAGTATTATTGAGCAAGTACTATTAGTGCAAGTGTTATTCAAAGGTGTCTGACACCAGCATTGTTCAACAGCATTATTATAGTTGTATCTGCAATTACAAAGTCTCTACTACAACAAGCATTACAAAAGTGACAATGAGTATTCATTGATATTACAAAATTGGCAATGAGTGTTTGTTGACATCACAAAAATTAGTATTATCTATGGTTTTATTTTAAATCAATATGAGGATATTTTAACCCTGATTCCAAAGTTTTATGATGTCAAAAATTGGTATAAAAGTTAATGAAACCTGAACATTTAATTCTTTTACAATTGACATCCGATACACTAAAATATTGGGAGAATGTGAAGTATAAACAGCAAAAATTATCTGATATCTCTAATATTTCAATAACTTTTAATATACAAAGCTTAAAGTTTGTATGTGTCCACTTGAAACACTGGTAATTAAATAAAGTTGATTATCTGTTTGTATGTGAAAAAATGACATAAAACTGTTTCATTAAATAAATATGGTTTTCCTATTTATTATATTTGTCAGCATGTGTTTTATATTGTATCTAATCTAGCAGTTCTTGCTTAATGACTATAATTTGCATATTAAGCTTTAAAAATATTTTTTTTTTCATGAAACAACTTTGTTATTCATTCCCAATCTGTTTTTGTAATCTTTAAGTGATTGCTTTGTTATTGGCAATTAAAATTGCTCAGTTATTTAAACAAAGCTATTTTCTGCCCAGGAAATGGCAACAACCTTATACTTTAGATCCCAGCTAGGGAGTAAAGTTAAGCAAGCAATGTTAGCATTTTTCTTTTCAATAGTATAGATGTAGTAAATCTAAATTTTCATTTCACAATTATGTATTTTTAAAATTTTGTTCATAAAAAATAAAATAAATTACTTGATTTGTTTTGTTTAATAATGTGCTTTCAAGTTGAAACCTAATTTGTTATTGTTATGTATTAATAAAACGTCAAAAGGTACAGCTCTGTTTATTTCAAATTCATGTGTGAATTTAATAGTAGGTTCAACTTCAAGTTTCTTTATTATGTCTAAAAGATATATATTATGAGGATATAATAAAAATTTTTAGAGTTTATCGTATACCCAATAACAAAAATAATCTAATTTCTATTCCCATTACAGTCACAAAATAAAATCAGGATTAGTCATAGGAATCTACCTTAGTCCTTAGAATATGTAGTCCAGAATACCTAGGTGAAGATGAGAAATACATTGAAAAAACATTTAGACTTCTTCACTACTCACATCATTTCATCCTCAATGCTAGAAAATGAGCATACAAAGTCCACAAATCAAAAAAATAGACATCACCAATAGCACTTCTAAGATCAACAACACAAAATTCATAATCCTACCCTCTAACATTCTAATTTATTATAATAGTATAGTATTTATTCAAAAATTATGACATAAGCATGTTATAACATCACTACAAAAATAGCCACTTTGTTTCAACACTTCTAGTGTCTTGTCAAGTGGTGGTGTTGATTTCAAAACTTTTTAAAACTATATTATTTGCTCTACTTTGTATTGACTTTTTTTTAAAAATAGTGGTTTTGGTTATTGGAATTTTATTTCCTCTATATCGACCCTGTATTTGTATAATAATTTATATATAAATCTTAAAATTCTGCTATTAAGTGAAAATTGTATTTAGTAAACAAAAATTTGAAAAGCTTACTACAGATCATCAAGCACCAAGATTTTTAAAATAATATTTAATTTTATTTTTATGTGTATGAATGTTCACATTTTGAAAGTATGGCAAATGTACATGACATTATCAGAAAATAAGAGCAATGACTATAGTAAATTTAAAGTCAATATTCCTAAAATTAGATTACAAAGAATATTTTCCAATATTATTAAGATTACTGAGTACTTAAAAATTATATTTATATAATTTTTAAGTACTCAGTAATCTTAATAAAGGGGATCACTTGTCATTTTCTTAAATTATGTTTTGACACAGTTTCCGCTCATCAATCACATAAACATGGTTACTATCAGTTAAAAACACGGCTACTGTTTGTTTTAAAAATGCATTTCTATGTTATTTTAAACTTAAAGTAAATAATATTTGTTTCAAATCAGATTAATTATACTTAAATCAGCTATTCCTCAAATAAAATTTCAGAAAAGTAAATTTATTTTGGGAAGATTTTTTAATACATTGCAATGAAAGACAACTAAAAAAGGGTGCTAATCATCTATTTTAGCAAAAAGAAAAAAGAAATTATTCCAATCAATATAATTTCTGTTTGAAATATATCAGAGTATTTTGCTTACTGGAAAGCTTCAAGCAATCTTTTTCATTTTTAAAAATTCATAGGTATTGCAAATTAGTGAAGGTCCTTAATTTAAATACATAGGAACAAAACTGGTCATAACTTTGATTTTTACAAATGCCACTTTAATTAAAAAAAAGAACATATTACTTTATGTCAAAAGTACTTCAAGGGATTACTTATAAATATTCTACCAACTATCAACACATGTCAGAAACATATTGCATCATCAGCCTTTATTAAATCCATTCTTAAAGAATCTAATGCTTATCTAAAATAAATCTATCTTTATCTAAAATAAATGGTGTGCATTAAGAATGTTCCCAAATCAACATGTGAAAACCACCCAACATTATGTCTACTAGGCACTAACACACACACACACACACATTATCATCTGAATCCTATATAAACAAAACGAATTATTATGCACTTACATACATAAAGCAATATTTACAGTTTGAAATCTAGTTTGAAATCTGTTAATTTCTTGGAACTTCGAAAGAACATGTCTCTTCTTTGAATTCTGAATGCCATAAGTTATACTAACATTTGTTTAACAAGTCATATGCATGTGAAACCAGATTAACTAATGAAAATCAAACAACACAAATATAAAAATACCAGAATTTCTTTCTTCTTTTTCTCCATATTTCATTCTCTGATGAAGTTTTAATAAAAATGAAATCTGTTAGATTGATAAACGTTTCCTATTTGTTCTTTATCCTATCATATATATATATATATATATATATATATATATATATATATATACACACACACACACACAAATATTTTATTCTGCAAGCCAATATTTTTGCAATAATGCTATTAACTGTTTCCCTACAAGGAAACACTTGGCATTAATTGCCCGAGCATCCAATCAATGTATTCACAATAAAACTGATGTTGACCAGCTGATTTTCAGGGTATACTTAAATGAGTAATATATTGTGAGTTTCAGCTTATAATATCTATCATT